AAAGTCTTTTTTTTTCTGTATGCGTCTAATTCCCATCAACAAGATGGTGCATTATGTGTTTCCTTTTGTCCATTTGTCTGGTGTGTTTAGAAACAGAAAGCACTTTGAACCGGGAACTACTGTCAACCATATGCTTCCAGATTTAGCATCCCAGTCTCAGATAAGCCATCTAGCCCCCAGTATAAATGATGGTTTTTTGGTTTGGTTTTTTTTTTTTTTTTTTTTTTTTTTAAGTAAAATGTTTTTAAATAGAAAATAATTTTAAAGGTCAACTTTTTTTTTGTGCAGAATTAAAAATAGGAACAAAATAAACACAGAAATTTTTGCTTTTGTCACACTGAGACCACAATTTCTACAGACATTCCTCTGATGAGACACCATTGCAAAAGTATATATTACATGGTTACAGAAATACGTGGAAGAGCATACCATGCTGTGGAGACAGTAATCCACAGAAATATGGTAAAACAAAGGTCACAACATGCTCACCACAACTATGGCTGGCAAGAACATAATTTCTCAATGTATTACAAACCATTTGAAAAGTTTAACCCTAACATCATGTAATCTGCAGTATGTTTCTGCATCTCAGCTAGAATTTAAAATGTAGCTGATAGAGCATAAACTGAGAAAAATAGCATAACCAAAGAAACCCTGAAACGGAAAACTGTCATCCTTTTTTAGTAAAGGAATTCTAATATTTTGGAAAATGTGGTTAATTTCTCTTAACACCAGATGTATAAATGGCATACCTGTAACAAAGAAACTGGGATGTTGTCAGAAAAATCCAGACAAGTAATTCTGCTAGGAAAGGGACCCAACAGCACCCTTCATAATGTGCTGCTCTGCTAGCCCTAGGGCATTTGTGCTAGAGAGACAGCAGTCAAGTTTTAGCTTTTATTATTTTAATGCTTTGGGGTTTTTAAGAATCAACAGCAGTACAGCACAGGTTTATGGATAGGAATCCTGAACCACTGGGGTTGTGAACCATAAGTATTTTACACGCGTTGTTTTGTAACAATGAGTGCACACAATCCTGTTTAACAATGTACATAACGGCACAGAGCCTCATATGGAAGACACAAATGCAAGTACAAGCAGAAAATCTGATACAGCTGCAGACATCCTATATTGTCCCAGAAGACAGGCCAATGCAGAGTTGCTATGTATAACATGCAAATACTTAATAGTGCGACCAGTAGTCACTGCTTGCTGCATTCCTTACAAAAGCAGCCAAAAGGAACATAAGAAAAGGGAAGGGAGAAGAGACATTTACCACTTATTTCACTGGCGCCAGCTAATATCTTTTCTGTAACTAATTCACTTTAACTCTGCACAGGGCAATGTTATGTAAAATGTTTCTGAAGGAAGATTTTTTCCTGCCTCTCAAGAGCAAGCATCAAAGCCTAGTAAACTGTGTGCTGCAGAATATATTTAAAGCTTAACAATACTAACCAATAGAGTCACTGAAACTGAACTCTGAAGGAGGAGCTCTCTACATGCAGAGGCTGGGTTTCTATTTTCTGGCACAGATTATACCAGCTTACAGAAAGGCAGTATTTTACAAGTCTTTACATATGTAGCCAAAAGCTTTTGTCAGTGAGATGCAATTACAGCTTAAAAACAGTTTCTGTGATAAAAAAGAGATGAGAGCACTAATGAAGGTGGCTTTCTGACAAATCAAGTTTTTCCTAACTGTTTTTATTTGTTCATTTGATCTCAGTACTGGAATTTTGCAACAGGAATTGGCTCAGTCTCTTTCAAAACATAAAGGGCCTAATCCCTTCCCATTAGAGAACAGGAAGTCAGAAGCCAATCTTAGCACTGATTAAAAAAAGGAATCTGGATTGTTATTTTAACTTCTTTGTTGCACATAAACTAGAGAATTTTTTTTCCGCTACCATTTCAGCACACTGGCTCCATTAAAAGCTGATGTCTCCCCTAAGTGGCACCTGTTTAGTACAAGAGATCCTTTGCACCAACTGCTCTCTACAGAGCAGCAATTACGCTACAGTTTCTCCCCATCACTACATGTGTAACTCAGAACATGTGCTGCACAAATCCTTATTTATGTGCCACTGTGCTGTCCTGCTTTGGATAGTACAACAATGACATTTCTAGTGCAAAGATTTTTTACACCTCCTCTAAGTGCATTCATACAAAATTGGTTCAAGTGGGAACAGGCAGTATTTTGTATTTTGACTTCTGTTCATGCACACTTGAAAACTGCATACTGTTATTGTCAACAGTGTTGTATGTGTGCCTGCTGGATCCCACCAGCCCAAACTCCCACTTCTCCCCCAGCCTTCCTAACATTCTCAATACGCAGGTGTGTGCATGTGTGTATTTCAGCTTCTATGTGCAGTGTTCAAGCACCAAGCACTCTCATCTGCTCCTCCAAACCAGTGGCACTGCTTGATGTCCAAGCACAGTGTTGCAGCCTCTCTCAAGCATTTCTGCTATACACCAGGCTCAGCAAACTGGCAAGAAACTCTGGCTTCACTTCGAGAATTGTGCAGGCTTCCTCAAAGAAGCAGGCAAATGAGGGCTAAAGCCATGGGTAGCTGAAATCTTGATTTCTGGGCCTACTGCATTCCCTCACTTGAACCTTCCCATTTTAAGTGTTATCTTTCTCAACACAGAACCTGTGTGACCTCTCTGGGGCTCCTAAACCAGTTAATGAATCAGTCCAAATCAGAATGGAACTGGATGAACTTCAAGCATAGCTGCAGGTAAAATAAGCTGAACACACCCCAACAGTTCTCAACATTAAATATTTAAAGTATGTCAGATTTTTTTTTATTTTCCCCAATATTAAGAAAAATGGCTGGTAGTATTCAGCACTTGAAAATTAATGTTTTAAATATGAACATAGTACACCCCCAGTTTTGAAATCCTCTGCTCTATTTTCTCTCATCTCATCTTTCCCATCTGGTATGTTTTAGTAATAATTTAACAAATATTTTTCTTCAAGGCTGTCAGGAAAATCTCATAGCATTTTGGAAACACTGAACATTATCTTGTGAGGTAAATTAGGACACAAAGAAGTAGCATGACATATATGTGATCACACATTGTCAGTTGCAAAGACAGTAACAGAAATCCCAATATGTGCTTCTTTGGAGTCTTCGAGAAAATAAATTGGTAATATATAGCAAATAGCGAAGCTGAAACCTACATCAAGTTACATTTGAAGGATGATCTGCAAAAGTTAAAAAATGTAAAGTCTAATGTAGGAAAGTTTTCTTATTCCAATGATTTATTTTTGTTAGGATTTATTTATGAAAATTCACACCCAGCTAGCTGTCTCATACGTTAAGCAAAACCTTAACTCTACATAGCTTCTTCATGCTTCTGAGCTTCCTTCTCTCAGAGAATGCGTCTACTATCAATCTATGCAGACTGCAGCCAGAAGTCTATGTCCACTTCCACACTTCACACTGGTTACCACTGAAAACAACTGTTAAGTACAGGTCTCTTTCCTGGATACTTTAGTCAGTATAACTCATCAATAGCTTTTGCTCATTACTGAGCTCAGACGAACTAATAAAGTAACACACAGAATGCTTCATATCCCATTATCAATTTCCCAGTTCAATTTGTCAGAATCTACCCCAGGTGTCAGGAAAAACCATTAGCCAGCACCTTAGCCAAGACAAGTCAGCAAACCCTACCTCAGATAAGCACCTGCTGTTCTAGAGATTACAGTATTAGTGGAAAGAAAAAGACAATAAAAAGCCTCTGGAAAAAAAAATCTAAATGTGCACTTTTTCTTCATACCATTGACATGAGATTTTTTTGGAGGTTACGATTTTATAAGCCTTTCCCTGCAACTATACAAGGGTTAAAAATTAGTCTAAAAATAAATATTGACAAGATTCTCAGCCAATGACATTGAAGAAAATTTATGGCTTTAAGAAAATGCCAGATATCACAAGATGCATGACAAAACAGCAAGAGTTGCTCACATCCAGTTTTCTTCCATTGGAAAAGATACTAGTGGTTTTTTTAAACTCTATGTGCTGAAGTTTTCTAAAAGAGATTTCCTGTCCTTTCTCTAAGATTGCTGAACCCCATTCAGCCAGGGCACAGATAACATCTTTGGATAAAAGATTTGAAATCACAGTTTCTCCCATACAAAGTTCAAGTTTTACAGAAAAAAAAGCTTTTCTTCCACAGAGCCACAAACTTCACAAGAGAAAGTTATTTCCTCTGTTCTGTTCCCTTGGGAGGTGTTACATTCTTACAACCTGTCAGACTTAACCAGTCATATTTGTAATTTATATTTAGTATAAGGTTGTTTCTCTTCAGACCACCTCTGGATACTCCTAACACAATGAGTGAATTCTGATTACTCACTTTTCTCCTACAGATTAGATACCTTTTCCACTGTTACTGTGCACTGGAAGTCTATATGAAACAACTTTCTGAATACCCAAAAACCACAGCGAAATATAAAAAAGACAAACATTACAGGATTTTGCTGCACCTTGAAATATAATTGCAAAACACTGAGAATGAGATTTCCCTTGCATTTAAAACATTTAAACATGTTTCATTATTAGATGAAAAAACTTAGCTGAAATACATACACACACACTGTACTCAGAGAGAGGGGCACTCTCAAACTTTTCTAGCCAGTCTGATCAAGGCTGCGGAGAGTAGCTACACAAGTTGGATACTAGCATTTCAGAACAAGTTAAACTCACCTACAAAAACAGTCAGGACAGTCCTAATTTTCAAATGGCAAAAGATGCTAAAAGGGCATCTCTGCAATGGTATCCTACATAAAGGGAAAAGGGATGGACAACTAGAAAGAAACAGGTTTGGAGAGAGTACAGAAAATTGGATAGTTGGGATTTTACTAGGTTTCAGGCAACAGTCAATCAAAAGAAATGTGGCTGTAGAAATTCAAACTCCACTGATGTCCTTAAACAATTCAGTCCTTTCCTGCACACTTCTTCTAGAAGTGAGTGATTCCTTACCAACACAGAGCATTGTCATTCAGAGCCAGAATCTACAGTGAGAACCACAATGTAAAAGTTATTAACAAGCAGCTGTACTGCATCATACAAAGGTCCATGCAGCCAAATAATCCCACTTAAGTGGCGACCAGTTGAAGGGATTGCCTAGGGAAAGGTTTACGGGGTAAATATACAAATTTATTTCCCAGTCTTCAAGAATTTGTGGCTCAAAAACAGATGCTTTCTTTAATATCCATTGTTGGATTCTTTTCCTCATGAATTTGTCTAATTGCCTTGGGAATATATAACAACCTGTGGATGTAAGTTCCATGGCACATTAATACATCATGTAAAGTAAGTACCTCCCTTTTTGTATTGTGAACCTGTCTGCTGATAATTTCATTGGATGACCCTAGTTCTTGAATTATGGAAGGGAGTGAATAATCATTCTCTATTCACCTGCTCCACATACAGAATGACTTCACAAATCTCTGTCCTGCCCTCCATCAGGCTGAGTCTTCATCTGTTTAGAAATTTCTGTGAAAGAAATCTGTGCTCAGCCTTGTTACCCCTCTCACCATGTTTTCTAGTTGTACTATTTTGGGGGAAAGAATGGGAGGGAGGGATAAGATCAGTACAGTAGGAAGCTACACCATTCCCTATTTATTCTTCTCTTTTGTTCACTAATACTATCATTCCAAGATGCCTGCAAGCATGAATACAAAATTATGCAATATTTCAAAATTTTTCTTTGTAATTATAAGAAAAAAAAATTGAAAACACTATACTGTCTTCAAGTCCAACTCAAGCCAATTTCTAAGTAAATAGCCTGACCTTCTCTACATTCTTATTGGCATCCCAGTTATACAACATTATTTGTATAGGCAGACCAACCCTGCAGAACTTCCAGCTTTGATATATTTTCCAGACTGGGTATCTGCTGCAGGTTTAACATGTTTGGAAAGTTTTAGGGAACAAAACCAAGCCAATTCAGATAATGAAATTAAGGAAAGGTATGTGTTGTTCAGCTCTTTTGAAAAGCTCCAATGCCTTCATAAGCTACAGCAGAGATTTTAAATTGGCAGTAAACTACCCTCATATCAGGGACATATTTTCCCATTCCTATGAAAACACTACCAAATTTGGCCAAGTTACAACTCTTTACTGAGTCTATATAAACTGTGTTTTTCTAAAGATTCACCAGAGTTTGACAGCTGAAGATGAAATCAGTATGCACCATCTCCTGTCCACGCCTCTGTTAACCAGACTGAATATTCATTATTCTCTTTGAGCAGTTAAGGTTTGTCCTGGATCTGCAGAAACTGAACTGGACTCTTCCTGCAACTGAAGCTTCCAGAGCTTGCTATGACACCAAACAAAAATTTGAAATGGTTCAGCTATACCTACATGATCACTGATACCTGTGTATTATTGCCTACCCAGTATTATGCATACTGCTACAGAAGCCCCTTGGAAGAAAATGAGGAGGGAAACATAATGGCAGAAATACAGAAGGGACAAAAGAAAGCAGGGAAGTAGTTAAGACTAGAACAAGGATCCTGAGACATATGCTAAGACTGAAAACATGGTAGAGATCACATGAAGATGGAGAGGGAGGAATGGAAGGGATGAGTTCAGAAAAGGCTAATTGAGGATTGTGACGAATTTCTCGGGAAACAACAGATTTAGAAAATGACCTGGGATCTTAGAGAAGGAAAACAGAGTGTAAAGGTAAGTGGTATGAAGACATTCTTGGAAAAGAACAGGGACAGAAAGGATGAAGAGTATGTAAAGCTTCCTCAAGTCCACATCAGATCTCATTATCCCTGATTCTCAACGTTCTTCTTCTATCAGCAAGTATCACTAAAACTCACTGAAAGACTGCTCACCCCCCTTTAGCACTCATCCATGGACGACCCTATAAAGTAATTTTGACATAATTGACATAAAAACAAAGACTAAATAGAAAGAACAATCTATTCTTATGTCTCTCACTGCAAGATTATGTATAACAAGCTTGCTATTTGTGTATACATATACAGAGAAAATTCCTTTCATTCAGGAGCAAGATGTAGAGATATTAAAAAATTACTGCTAGAACTATCCGATACCTAAGCAGCATCTCTTAAAAAAAAGAAAATCTTTGACATTATTTAAAATTGTAACAAAAATCCCTTTACAGAAGCAAACTGTAGCTCATTCTTTTACATCACTCAAAATTAATACTTAGATCTGCTGTAAGGCCACATTTGATACAGAAAGGGTATTTAACATCACTTTCCCATCTGCTGGAAGCAACTTTAAAAATACTCACGTTTTTAAATGACGAGATAGTTGCACACTGAAATAATTTGCAAACAGTATTAAGAAAGGTGCCATGGCTCTTCTCTGCTTCAAGCACTTGCTCTTCCAGGAAGGAAACATGATGTGCAACCATTTTAACAAATGCCTATGGAGAAAGGAAAAACACCTAATGTAAATTAAAAGCACCTGTGCTGGGTCCTAGCTAGCTGAGATCAGAAGTCAAAGAAAAAGCTTTAACAAGATTTCAGAGTGCACTATTGCTAATATAAATATCCAAGGGGTATATACTCAGAAGTAGACTACAGATGTTTACAGCCACAAGAAGAACCACTGGTCATGACATAAGGCTAATTTTTCTCCTTACCCAAGGGCAGATTTTTGCTCCCTTTTCAGCATACAGAGTATGTAAACACTTGCACAGCATCTAAAGGTCTGGCAACATTTCAGCAGTGAGGTGAAAAGCTCTTCAGAACCCGCAAAGAGACTGCTAGTACTCGTGGGAGTGAAAAAATGGCCAAAGTGGTAGGAGGGAGTAGACAGCAGAGGAAAAGATAGCGACAAGTGATTTTAGCTAAAAAAGGTCAGGAATTATTGACCTAAACCATACATGTGTTCAGTTTCAGTTGAAATTTGAGCCATAAGGGAAAGCCAACTAGAAAAACCACATTATTTATTTGTTAAAATACAGAACAGTTTGTAAACAGAGTTTTGATTCTCTCCATTAATGATTAAGCTTCACTTTATTTTTTTGAGATGTTGATCACTGCCAATTTTAGGGATGGGGAAGGTGAGGCTGAATAGGTAAATTAATTGCCCAAAATGTACAAGTGGCAACACCAAAATTAACACCCAGCAGATTCTCATCCTATATAACCATTACACAAGAGTCCTTCCCTCTTCTACTCTTGGGAGTACAAGTCAATTCCTCCCTTGAAAATCCCCATGGATGCTAAGCTTTAAATTTATAAGTTCTAATTGAAACATTAACTACTGCTCAAATTGCCAATTCAATCTTGTGCTCTCAGATTACTGCCATTACAGGTGGTAATGTTAGGGAGAAATACTGATTCCTAGCCAATCAAGGTATTATCCCCCCCTTGATAAGCAAAAAAAGCCTCCCAACAAAATTCTGCTGCGTTATTCAAGGACAACCTGTAGCCTAGCAGACTGGTGTTTTCTTTATATTCCAAATTACTATGTCCCTACAGCTGTACTAAGGGAATGGGGTCAGGAAGGGTTGGGTTTTTTCCCCTTCCCTGTATTAGAGGGGAAAAAAACAAAAAGAAGCTCTGTTGCTTACCATACTTTTGGCACAAGTAATTGCTTAGAGTTTGAATTTTATTTTCCTGTTCAAAGACAAAAACACCCCCACACAATCCCCCCAAAATCCCAACCACCTATAAACATGGAATTTGCAAAAAGACTTAAATGGGTGAGACACTTAACAGAAACAGTTGGTTTGGAACCTGATTCAGTTGGCCAGTTTTCACAGTCCTAGTTTAAGTATAGCTTCAAGTATGGCCAAATTGTCAAGTATGCTGAGAACTCGCTAGCTGTTTCTTGGACTTGGGTACTCACTTCTGAAAACTAGACAGCTTTGTAAACAGGTTAACAGTTGACTCCTACTTTTGTTCTAAAGTGCCTTGCCTCAATTTCCTGTCTGAAGCGTTCTCCTGGTGCTGTGTAAGTCCATAAAGTGGTTTGATAAGTCTGTTATCAAATGTAAAAATGCAAACTACAAAAAATGAATTGCATTTAAAGAAAACTTGCTGAAAGTTGTCAATTTCCCTGTCCCTCCCAGCATAATAAACCTTACCAGAGGATATTACTTTGTACAGGGGTAGAGCCTGAAGCTTAAGCACTGCCTATCTGGATTTAATGCCATAAGCACTTTCACTTTGAGTCAGTTAAAACTCATTTTAAACATTACACAATTTATCTTGTCATGTTTTCATTACATTCCTCCCAGAGGCAAACTTGCCCTCGATTGACACAAATTCTAACACACTGCTTACTAAATATGGTGAGGGCATCATCTTAGTGAGTCATACTGGCTTCCCTCATTCAGGATACAATGAACACCAAACCAGACACAACAGAAGATGGGAGCTCAGAGATCTCTCCACTACTACATGATGATCATCAACAACTTAAAACAGGTATGTCCAGCACTGGATGTGAGACTTGATTTTTTGAAGTTATAAATGGTTTCGCAGATATTCCTTCAAGTCACAAAACAAATTAACATTATTAGCATTATTATTAACATCAAACCCACAACTAATGCTTTTAATCTAAGATTAGGAATTGTAGAATCCACAGTAACAAATTACTTAGTGATGTTCCAAAACCATAAAGACTTGTATGTGCTGAATCATGGGTAAACACACTGATCTAAAACCAAACATAAGACAATAGAGAGCCATAAACATCTGAGTGCTGCATACAAATACCTGGACAGTTAACCTATAAAACACATCAAAAGAAGGATGGAAATCTTCTAATGCAATGAACAAACCTCTAATTTATCAACTTTGGCATAGATGTGATTCATTTCCATCACCTTGTCTTTAATAAGTGGAATGGTCTCGTCCAGGATCTCTGATGTATCACTTCTAATCTGCATGAAAAAAAGTATCTCACATGAGGATGAATCTTGAAGATAAACACTACATTATTTTTTTCACATGAATATTTAAAAAACCACCTATTCAGAAAAGATATCACAAGGGCCCTTTTGCAGTATATTATAAAGTACAGATTGGGAAAATAACTTACTTTCTCAAGTAATTCATGAGACAACAAAAAAACCCAATAGTAGATGACAGGACTCCCACATCAAAACTGTAACCAGATCCTTCCCTCTTCTCCCCAAATTTCCACACTACTCCTCCCAAGAGATCACCTACTTTCTATTATGAAATGCTGTAGACATCATGGGTAATGATGGATTTAAAATGAAAACTGCCTCTATACCATCCATCATGCTTTGATTTTATTGGAGAAGAGCTAACTCATACTACTTATCAACCAGTTTTGGGAAAGAGTCAGATCTTTGAGTACACCAATTCTAGTATCTTGCCTTCAGCAGGGGCTCAGGACTAGGGTTCTCAGGAGAGCAAGAATCTTCACACAACTTTATAGCGTAGTCACCTCAGAGAAAGCTTCTACTCCCCAGTCCCTGTCAGTTTCCACAATAGTTAAGTGCCCTAGTACAGGAAAGATTTTTTGTTTTGTTTTGTTACCTACTACAACCAAGCTTGTTTCTGACATCCATATGAGAGCCTGAACCTTATCTGAAATCCTGCTGAGTGTTGGGTTAGCAAGAATTACCCAATTTTCTATATAAACAACTGCCAGTGCTTTGTTTGGAGGTGTATCTTACTGCCACCTAACAAAGCACTATAGCTAATGGAATGTACAAGCCAAAAATGATGGATAAGACAAGAACTGAGAAGAGCTCTCTGAAGGGAAAGATAAAAGCAAACCCAAGAAAACCTCCACTAAAACACCCAAATACGCATTCTAATTTGTAAAACAGAGCAGCAACACACTGACAAGAGAAATAAGAGAGGCAGTTGAGCCCACTTTTATATAAGTTTTCTTTCTCAACTACAATGGAGTATAGGAGGTCTTGGTTCATTTCTGGATTAAAGCTGTCCTGCCTACAATTTTAATAGACTTAAAGAATATAGAGGAACAAGGATCCCTTCAAAAGAGATTTTTGTCCCAAAGGCTGAGCTAGAAGATAGTCTTCCTTCAACTTCATAGGAAAGTGTAAGGATCTTTTAGCTACAATGGTGGGAATCTGGAGTTAGACTAATATTGCAGGGAATTTTCTGGGCATTTTGAGATTTAATCCAGACTCTCAAATAAAGCATAAATGCCTGCTATAAGTCACTTAAGCTATGGACCATGCTTTATAAACTCTAATAGGTACTTAGACATTTTACTGATGATCATATGACTCATTTGTGTGTGTGTTTGTTTTTTTTAAGAAGTTGTGTTTTTAAAAGCTGAATATAAACAATGCTACATACATATAAAATCATTCCTAGTAAGATTTTATGGTATTTTTATTACCAGAATGAGTACATGCAGATCAAGTGCTTTTATAGTGCTATAAGTGTTCTGTAATAGGAGATCAAACAGACATATCAAAATAGTAGTAGCTTTCTATTGTAAACAAACCAACAGTATCTCCTGTATTACTGGTCTCAGCACTACATACACCAAATATAGATAGGGACACCTCCCCCAGCAATGACATAACTGTATACACAGACACACTGTTATCTTTATAGTACGCACTTTATATCTAACGGAAAGTGAGCACAGACACTTAAGCAGGATCCCTGCCAATGGAGTCAGACTTATATTTCTTAATATTAAATAAAAGTGCATAATTAATACATGATGAAGGAGCCAAAGCAGATGAATTTCAGGTTTGTTCTAGTGAATTCTTTTGGGTCAATGGTAGGCAAAAAACCTCTCCTCTCATACAGCACATGTGAAAAACAGGCTGGTGATCTGTCTGAGGTGAGGTTCACACTCGGGTAAATTACATTGGATTAAAATTTGAGCCTGAAATTTCCAAGGATAAGGTAACAAACTTGTTTGCTAATGTTGGTCTCAGAAAGAACTAAGGAAAAGCCACTCTTACAGCTAAATGCTAGATAATTACTGTAAATATGAACAGAGTTAAGAACAGAGCCAGAAAGAGGGAGATGTTGTACAGACCCATATCAACACAACAAGGTCAGAGCAGACATGGAACACATCTAAACCATCTTTCTTTGACGGTAAAAGCAAACGACCAATACAAGACACAGGAGAGCTGATCTTCCAGCAAGCAGCCTGTGATGAAAGGAAATGATATGCAAATATGATTCAAGAAGAGTCATTCTGCAGCAGTCTGCAGAACCACAGCAACAGAGGAGTTCAAGAGGAGTCAGCACATGACAAAGGGAAATGATTCTCTTGGTACAGCAACCTCTCATAAGCCAGAGAAAGCAGGACTGGTCTGAAACACCACGTTATAAAACAAGATTTATCTCCCCTTGTGCAATGTATTGTACTTTATCTTACTGAAGTTTTAGCCAAGTGCTCAGGACGAGCACCAGGGCACAGCAGTCCATGGGAAAAAAACTGTATTCCTCTTACTAGATTTTACTATGCTAATTGGAGGAGGGGGTGAGGAGGGAAGATCTGATTGAGCTTTGTCCTCTAATTCAAGTCAGCAAGACTAAGCTCAAGAAGGTAGCAAACCAACAGCACCAAAGTCGGTTAGGAGACAGCACAACCAGAGTATGAATGATGAATTAGAACACAAACCAGGAACAGCACATTGTATGTAGGGCAGTGAGACCTGATCCTTGCATATAGTGCAGTTCAATCTGTACCAGTTAAACAAGCACAGATTCTTGTTATTTTGTATTCTATAAAAACTATTATTTTTTCAGGAAAAGAAAAAAAAAAATAGCTGGAGCCACAAGTCAAAGATACTGTGCAAATTCTAGTTGTCACAGGGACATTTTTGAAAGGATCTCTCTAAATTCTTCTTTGGTCTTTGATCCCATATTTTAACACAGAGTAACATAAAAGAATCACAAGTAACCACTGTAAACTGAACAGCTCAATGGTGAGAAAAGAAAAAAACTGAAGTTGGTATGTTCCTGAGAAGTTAGCAAACCCTAGACACAGCGAACCAAAGAAAACAACCTCTTCCTCTCTTTTCCCCAGCGATGAAACCAGGTTTCACACCTAGGGCCTCAGGGAGGAGGTTCCCAAACTGTAAGGCCATGAGACAAAGATAAGCAGTTAGCACCGGGTCTGTGGAACCATAATAAAGCAAGATTTACAAACACATCATTTCCCTGAGGCAAGTTCTGCAAGAAGGTTCAATGGCTTGAGAACCACTAATCTGTGGTTTTAGAACCTGGTGAGTATGCTGGAGGATCGACACACCTATTTAAAAAAAAAAGAAAAAAAAAAGAGCATCAAATATAAGCAGAAATTTTGTATGTATCCATGCATCTTCTTCAAGGATTAGGAGCCAAAGAAATGGAAGTAGTGAATTTCCGCATGTAACTAAACCAGCTGTGTGTGTCTGAATAGATACCATTTTCAATCATGCTTTAAGATATACAAGAAGCACAAAGAATCGTATCTAAAAAGGTAAATAACAATGACCCATGGAAACACTATGAGAACAGCATATACAAGAGTCTGGTTATTACAATGAAATTTTTTTGCTTTTGTGTCACTGGTTCAAATCATAGCTCAGTTAAAAATCACAATTTGATAATTATACTTGAGAGGCTCTGAAGCCACTTAAAAGACATTAATTTACTTTGTTGAAGTCAGTGTCCTAAGGAAGACATCACAAAAAATAAATAACTGGCACTAAAATCCTTCTAGCACAATCTTTTCATTGCAAGATGCTCCTTCCATGGCAAGTGTGAGACATGCTGACCTGACTTTACATTGTCACTGTAACTTACCTACTGTACAAGTGTCCATTTTAAGTGTGCCATGCTGTGCCTAGCCAGGTACAACAGCATGACACTGGAAATAGCATTTTGTCTTCCTAGCACTGATGATCCAGGTTTTTCCTCATTGCAATATTCAAATGTATGCATCAAGAGTACTTGTAAGTGAAAAGCAGCAGCATACTCAAAGGAGAAAAGCCAAATCCCTCTATGTGAATACTGAATGCCCAATTGAAGAAAGCAAGATTCCCCTTGCCTTTTGTTGGCATAGACAAAAGACCAAATTATTCCTAGGCACTGAAGCTGGAATCAGTTCAAATACTACATTATATTTATCAGATTCCCAGATACCACTTGATGTGCTGCTGAAAGGAACCTTCCATTGTAGGTACTGGGTAGAAAGCCACAGAATCAGCACCGACTGCAGTGCTCTGATGTTCCCAGGTAAGGTCAATAATCTGCATACCAGGGAATTATTCACAGCCTGCAGGTTGTGGAAAAATCTTTTCAGGGGCAATGCAAAGATAGTGTATTGAAACTAGGTTAGTGCTTTTTGTAGAAAAGGTTGGCAAGAGAAGAAGTCTCACAGGAGATTTAAAAGCTCACTGGACCCATCTGAACAAGCTAACCATCTTCCCTATGTTGGAGCCAAAAATGTAAGGTGCATGCCTGATTGATGGGAAAAGCATAAGGTACATACAAAACCCTAGTGTAAGCTCCCAAACAGCAGAATTGAGTGAATGAACTTAATAGTAAATCAGACAGAATACAATCAGCAGTGAAGAGCTATTGATTCAAACCACTTGTTTTGAGCAGGTGATGTCGTATCACTGAAGCAATCATCACCTTTCAGGAATGAACTCAAAGGATTTTCTGGCCCAAGAAACCCATCTCTTGTATTCTACGTTTTGCACAGACTAAATGTGCTGTACTAGAGAATCTAAAGCTGACAAATGTAAGCCAAGATGTATCAAAAAATAGACTGCATGCTCTGAGGTTCACATGCTCCTTTACAGCTATTTTTGTCAAAAGCTGAATGGAAAAAGAACAGCTTAAACAGCCACTGATACCGAACCATTCTTAAAAGGCAGCTATTTCTCCTTTTAAGTCCCCTACTAACCATGTGAGACTTAGATAAGCCAAGCTTTTGTTTCTTTCCACTCTATGTCATTTCCTTCTGGAAACAATGATGCCTCCTTTCCATAAGCAAGACGTGCCAATGACAAAACCAGAAACCTCTGATAGAAGTTGTAAAAAGATTAATAACTGGCTATATTGCTGACTGATTTGCCTAGAACAAGGGTGATGGCCTCACTTCTCTTGAGCAGAATTCACATCCAAGGTGCAAAAAAGATCTGTCTCATAACCAAATAATAATAATAATTCGTTAGCTGATGATATTTTGTATAAACTGTGTCAAACATGTTAATCTGAATTTTCAGTGGGTTCTTGCAGTCCATGCCAAGAGTGCTTTGGGGCCACCTATGACTTAGGAGTTCTGTCGTTGATAGTAAGCACAACATTTCTCCAAACTACACTGGGATACATCAACAGAAAAGTGGAAAGATGTGCAAGAGGCAATATTGGCACTTGGTCTGCGAACAGAAGACAATGTAACAGAAGGTCAGCACACCAATGTCTTTTGTTTCTGCTAAAGCCGGTAAGAATAAAGCTAAGAAATTGCCTTTCAGCTGCCTAAGAAACATTGGCCAAGTACTTTTCTTACCCGCTTCACTTTATCCTGTCCCTCTCCGTTTATCTATGCAGTTCCTAAGAATCATCCAACAAAATAGCTCATACGCAACAAGTCCCCAAGGAGATGTTCGCTGGTCACTTCTTGCCATTAGAAGTGCATTCAGTTAGCAACCATTGTAGTTGCCAATGACACGTGCATTACACAAGATGCTTGAAGATGGAAGAAAAACGTTGCGGTAAGTGCTAACAGAAGGCGAGATGGTCTGCACATCAGTGATTACAAGAGGCAGTCCCTCTAGGTAAACTTGGTCCATGGTATCTCTATGATAAACACTCAGAAAGGGTTAAAAGGCAGTACCAGTTCCTCTACCTAATTTTATGTTTTTAGCCTAAGGAAGGAAAGAAAAGTTGACTGCAGAAATCATTCATTTCCTTTACATGAACACCATAACCCACACAGCCTTCAGAGAGCACTACTTTAAGCAGAAAGGCTGGAGTAAGCTAAATAGTAACACACACCTCTTGGTTTATCTAAATGGTTTATCCCAAACAATTAGGCAGTGCCAATGGTGAAGATAACTGGTGTGCTACAAATGTTGCATAGCACATCAGTCACAGCCCCATCATTAATCAGTACTCCCCACTCAGTTATTCCACCCATCTCAACCTCTCTTTCATTCCTATTGCAGGCTCTTAGTAGACACAACTAGCTTGTTGCATTTGTACAGCATGTGGCACAGGTGGCCTTAATTTGTAGCTGGTGTCCGTGAATGTTACCGTAATGCACATATCTCCGCCTGCATCAGCCAGCCTAGTGCCAGAGTCTCAAAACGGTGCAGCTGTTGTAGCACTGGAGCAGTCTTCTCGGAAGGCTTCACACCACCACTACGGTAATGGCAGGGACCACGGAAAGCCAGATTACTTAACGATTCTAGAACGTACCGGTGACATCTACCTCCGGTACTTCACCGACTAGCGAACCGGGCGGGCAGAACGCCAGCTCGCTTCAGGAAAAGGGAGGAAAAACGCGCGCAGACCCACCACAGCTCTCCCGCCGCCACCCGCCACCCGCCCCC